GGCGGGGCGTGGCGCCGGCCGCGCGGTGCCGCCACCACCGCTGGCATGAGCCTGGGGTCCTCCCCGCACGGCTCTGCAGCGCGCCAGGCCTCACAGAGCTCTGCCAGCCCAGCTTCCCGAGCCTGGGGGTGTTCGGTAGTGACCATTCCTCCACTCTCCCCGGCAGCACAGCGACTCGGATTCAGAGCCAGAGTTTTCTTCCCTCTCGCCTTCCATCCCGAGCGCCATCCCTGTGACCGGAGAGTCCTACTGCAACTGTGAGAACCAGAGCGAAGCGCCCTACTGCTCCAGCCTGCACGCCCTCCACCGTGTCAAGGACTGCCAGTGTGGCGAGGAGGACGAGTGTAAGGAAGGGGCTCCCCAACACCCTGCTGTAGTCCTTTGGGGTTCGAGGTGGGTGCAGTCCTGGCCCGGTGGCATGGACTGCGCCCCTGCACAGGTCCTTTGCCTTCCATGGGGGCCCTTATCTCTGTCCCGGCCTGGGGTGCTCCTTTGTTTACATCTCAAGGCCATGTAGACTGTAGGAGGATTACAAGCATGTGCCTCCTGTGGTGTTTCAAGGCCTAAGTGCTGAACTTGTTAACACATCAGCGTTCACCTCTGGGGACCTGCTTTCAAATCCGGCTGAAGCCACAAGTGAAACCGACCCTCGTGGTTACAGCCCTCTTGCTGCTGATCCCCGGTACGGCTGGCAGGGTGCCTGGCTGCGCGGCGGGGCGTGCTCAGAGCAGAGGGCAGAGGAAGGCAGAGGGTGGGCTCGTGTGGGCTGAGAAAGCCTGTGGCATAGCGGAGCTACCCCCTGAGCCTGCGAGAAGTGTAGGGAGAAAGGAGGCTCTGCCTGGGTCTGCGGAGCCTCGTGTGAGCCAAAACGGGAACTGGTTTGTGCTGACAGCTTCAGGTTCTGAGCACTGAACCATCCCCGGTGGGATGCTGCAGCGTCATTCAGGCCTCAAACCACTCTCCGGCGTGCACAGCTTAGGATTTACCCTCTTAAACAGTAAAAAATAAAATAAAATAAATAAACCCCCCCAACAGGCCTTCAAAACAAATGTCTCGCTGTGCCTTGGCTTGGGGATCGCTGCCTGAGGGCCTTTGCCCATCCTTGTCCCCTCTGTGCTTCCTAAACAGATTTCGACTGGGTGTGGGATGACCTGAATAAGTCAACGGCCACCCTGCTGACCTGTGACAACCGCAAGGTGAACTTCCACATGGAGTACAGCTGCGGCACCGCCGCCATCCGGGGGAACAAGGAGCTGGCAGACGGGCAGCACTTCTGGGAGATCAAGATGACCTCCCCGGTCTACGGCACAGACATGGTACGTGGGGGAGAGTCGCTTGGGGCACGCAGAAATGTCCACTGTTCTTTGAACAGGGACTGGGAGGATGAAGCATTGCCCGCCATAGAAGATTGGGTTTGGGAACATCTTTGTTGGGGATGCTCACAGTGGGATCCAGTGCACCCTTGGTGAGTTCACAGGTGACACCAGGCTGAGCGGTGTGGTTGACGCACCTGAGGGATGCGATGCCATCCAGAGGGACCTGGACAAGCTGGAGAAGTGGACCCGTGTGAACCTCATGAGGTCCAACAAGGCCCCATCCAACCCACCCATCCTGTGATTCTTTGAACAAGACAGCAGGCTTCTCCAGCAGTTCCGCTGGGCCTCCTCGCTTAGGAAGGGAAATTGGAGCTGGGAGCCTTCAGCTCTGTCCTGAAACCTCTGACTTGGCTTTGCCAAAACCTCTGGGTCTTTGGGACTGTGCCAAGAAAAGGAGGGGGAGCCGGAGGTGGAGTCTGGGATGTGTTTTGTCGCTTGAAAAGGCGCTAAGCTTGTGCTCTTCTTCCTGGCCTTGCCTCCCAGATGGTGGGAATTGGGACGTCGGATGTGAACCTGGACAAGTACCGCCACACCTTCTGCAGCCTGCTGGGCAAGGACGAGGACAGCTGGGGACTCTCCTACACCGGTAACACGGGCAGGGCACTGGCAGAGGGCAGGCTGGCTGGGAGGGCAGCATCGGGCATAAGTGTTGTCCTATGAGGATGAGAATTAAATGCTCTGAAGGGGATTGAGGCCGAAAAGGCCACCAGGCCTGCGATTCCCCTCGTTAACGACAACCGGAGCGGCTGCCTGCAGCTCGCAGTGCTGGGAGCATCTCGCCTCGCTTGCGTTTTGCAGGCCCCTTAGAACTGGTGTGTGCACCTCCAGGGTGCCTGGGCTGCCGGTTGCGCGGCACTGGTTGGGGGCTGCAGTGCTGCTGGTACCGCAAAACCTCAACCTCCCCCTTTCCATCACCCGCTCTGGGGTGGGAGGGCAGGGATCAGGCAATGGAGGGATTTCCTAGGCACTGAGCGAGGCCGTAGCGGCGGGAACTCGCAGTGCGGGAGTTGGGATGAATTGGTGGAGCGCAGGCTTTCCATGGACCCCCCTTTTTTTTTGTTTGTTTGTTTTAAGGACTACTGCATCACAAGGGAGACAAAACAAACTTCTCGTCGAGGTTTGGCCAAGGCTCCATCATCGGGGTGCATCTGGACACGTGGCACGGGACGCTCACCTTCTTCAAAAACCGCAAGTGCATCGGTAAGAGCGAGGGTGGGCAGAGGGACTGGGAGGGGGAGCGGCGCAGCCCTGGCTGAGCTCGGAGTCCGGCTGCAGCAGAGCTGCGGAGGAAAGGCTGGTGAAGTAGAAGACCAAGGCGTGCGGCGAGTGGGAGGAAGGTTACGTTTGTTGTTTAATAGATTGGGGTTTCCAAAGGCTGTTTTCCAAGCATTTTCCAGCAGCTCTGTAGTTAATAGGTTCAGGGTAGCTGGGAGGAGTGAGATCACCTCATCAAAACTAATGTGAAACCCCTCTGATGCTGTTCCCCGGCAGGGGTTGCAGCTACGAAGCTGCAGAACAAGAAGTTTTACCCCATGGTGTGCTCGACGGCGGCCAAGAGCAGCATGAAGGTGATCCGCTCCTGCGCCAGCTGCACGTCCCTCCAGTATCTCTGCTGTTACCGCCTGCGCCAGCTCCTGCCCGACTACGTGGACACGCTGGAGGTGCTGCCCTTGCCACCGGGACTCAAGCAGGTGCTACACAACAAACTGGGGTGGGTCTTGAGCATGAACTATAGCACGTCGAAGCCTTCCTCCTCCTCCTCCTCCTCGGGAAGCGACTCGGACAGCTCCTGCGGCTCAGACGCAGAGGCCTGCCAAAGGAAGAGGTGCAGGAGGACGTAATGTCGCTGCAGACGAACTGCTGTGAGGGAGCTGGGCGGGGTTTTGTTCCGCTGTCTGCGAGGGCCGGCCGGGCCCGATGCACCTCTTCCCTCGCGGGGACTTCCATTTCTACTCGTTGGGAAAGATTTCTCTTACGCTGTCGGAAATCTTGAGCCTAAGCATCCGCCAGATGCGTTGCAAAGACCTGTAGACTTAGAGAGGTCACGGCTCTGTGAAACAGGTGAAGTGCAGCCAAATCTCTGAGCTTCATCTCCTGACTTGCTATCAGAGCCACCGCCTCTTCCCGAAGGGAAGATTTTCCCCAGGGACAAGATTTAAGGCGGCCTCCCACTTTCAAAGCGTACGAGACGCTCGTCACCTACCGGACTTGACTCCTCAAAAGATGAAATCAGAGACCAGTCCCCTCCTCCTCCCTGTCGTGTGTTGGTTTGGTACCTGCGATGAACTCGTCACGCTGCGGGGCACAACCGA